TGTGTGTGTGTGTGGTGTGTGTATATGTGGTGTGTGTATATGTGGTGTGTATGTATATGGTATTTGTGTATGTATGTATATATATGTGGTGTGCGTGTGATATGCATCTATGTGTATGTGCAGTATGTGTGTTGGGGTCTGTGTGTGTGATGTGTGTGGTGTATGTGATCTGTGTGTCTCTGTGTATGTGACATGTGTCTGTGGTGTGTATGTGTATATGTAGTATGTGTGTGTGTGTGTGGTGTGCATCTGTGTATGTGACATGTGTGGTATGTGTGTATATATGTTGGGTGTAATGTGGTATGTTTCTGTGTTATAAATTGTGGTGTGCATATACAAGGAGCCACAGTCAGTTAGTTAAAAATGCTTTTCTTTGGCAGAGGTGGAACTCCAGGATCAAACATTTCCTTAGAATGGGAAAGCTCTTGTTTGGGCACCAGCATCTCACCATACCATTGTCTGCCTCTAAGAACTATTCATGTTTCTTAGGCTTATTTGGTCATAAGTACTACGGAGCCTGTCAGGATTTCATAAACAGCATAAGATATTCTTGTGCAGAACACATTTGAGGCTCAAAAAGAGAACAGCGATTTGCTGTGGCTGTGCCTCACCTGGGGATGTGCTGGCCAGACTGCCTGTCTAGGCTGTAGAAGTCTGCACAGTCACGCTCCCGTCTTCTGCAGAAGTGAGACTCTCAGCTGCTCCCAAGAAGTGACTGAGCAGTCCAACATGCTCACGTTATCATACAGGAGCTGTTGTATAGGCCATGGTTTGGGCTGTTGTGTGGACTATGGTATAAAGTCCACATGGGACATAGCATAGGCCATGATATGCGGCCATAGCACAGACTATGGTATAGACCACGGAGCACAAGAGCAGGGTACAAAAGCCCCTAACCTTTCAGGAAGAGACCCATTCACCTCTCCCTGATCAGAACAGCTCACTCTCCGAGTGCATTCTCTTAGTAGTGGAAATTTGCTTCTGTTTTCTCAGCTTCCCAGGAGGCTGAGCAAGGGGTTTGCCCAGTTTTGATTGCTGGCAATGTCTCAAAGTGCCATCACGATCTGATCAGCCAGAGTCAGGGCCTGGTCTTGCCCAACACATCCCCTGCCAACATGCAGGGAAACCCGGGGGCACACCGTTTCTTATGGCATGGCAACATTTCCCACCCTCTGCCGTGGGAAAATCATCCTTTTATTTCATTTTATTCCCAGGAGGGCAAGTTCTAGTTCAGCGACATGGCTCCAGAGACCACACCCATCCTCATCGACCCCCTGAATCAGAGTAGAGATAGAGACTCACTCAGTGCCCTGACCCAGTTCTCCAGACAGGCTGGTTAGTCAGCTGGGTCCCACTGGAGGCCATGCAGGTGGCACTACAAGTATAGCTTGTACTACAAGAGCAAGTATAACTGCTGCAGATCGTCCTTCCAGGTGCTCTGGGTATCTCTGCATGGTCCCTCTCTGTCTTCTTCAGGTCCAGAGGCTTAGGAAAGGTCATTGGGCTGCCTTGTCCACATGAGGTAAGTCTGCTTTGTTCCTGCATCAGGTGCCATGCACATGATAAAGTAAATAAGGACCAACAAGCCAAAGAATGAGGAAGGGACATGAGTGTTATAGTGCTCTGTGTGTATGTGTGTGTGTGTGCATATGTATGTGTGCATGTGAGTGATGTATGTGCATGTGTGCAATGTGTGTGTGTATGCATGTGCATGTGTGTGCATGTGTGTACATGTCTGTGCATGTGAGTCCATGAGATTTTACATGTGTGTGCATATGTGAATGCATGTATGTGTGTGCATGTTTGTGTACATGTGAAAGCATTGTGTGCATATGTGTGCGCATGTGAATGCATGTCTGTGCATCTGTGTGCATGTATGTGCATGTATATGTGTATGTGTGTTCACATGTATGTGTGCATGTGTGCATGTATGTGCATATGTGTGTGCATGTGTGTATGCATGCATGTGGAGTCCTGAGGTTCATGCCCATCTTCCTCAATTGTTCTCTATCTTAGATATTAAGGCTGGCTATCTAACTGAGGCTGACCTTTCCACTAAGCCCAGAACTTAGTCTCTTAGTCTGGCTGGCCAGCTTGCTCTGGGGTCTCTCTGGCTCCCCTTCAATATGCTAGAGTGGGCTTCTACATCTCCTTGGCTTTTCCATGGGTTCTGGGGATCCAAACTCTGGTCCTCGTGCTTGTCTGACAATCCACTGAGTCATCGCTTCAGCCCTTGCACGTCTTCCCTTATCAAACATGAGTAGACATTCACGGGGACCAGTCATCTGTGAGACTTTCACCCACTTATTTCTGCTCCCAGCATCTTCTTACCTAGGTCAGAGATCAGGAGTCTAGCACCAAAGCAAACCCCTAAACCCAAAGTTCAAAAGCAAATTTCTTGGACTCCCAACTCTCATTTCTAGAAGATTCCTCTTGGGGGAGCTCGTTAGCAGGTCTAACAGGTATGTAACTACAGGAGTTTTGGCCTCTTTGTTACCAGCACACACTGCCAAGAGCTCACTTGGCACCAAGACTTCATATGTGGGTATCCCCAGAGGCCAAGGCCAGACAACCACAGAAAAACTGCCTAAGGGAATCTGGCTATCTGCTAAAATAAGACTCAGGAAGAGAAGGAACCAGGAGTCACCACGGTGTTTCACTGGGGAACACCCCCACTAGAAATCCTCACTTGAAGACCCACCTCAGAGCAGGACAATGTCAACCCAGATCTCAGGGACTAACCAGGACAGTCACCTGTTACTGCCTGCAGGAGCAGCAATGCAGGTGCATTCCACTGTGTGCCTGGGGTTCTAGTACCATGGAATGCTAGCCATGGGATCTTAGTAAGGTCAGAACTCACACGTCAAGGAAAATACCAAACACCACTTAACCACATGGCAATAAGTGTCCGTAAAGGTATCGGCTCAAGTGTGCCACCAACAGACAGACACATGTTTTAAAACATGCACAGCTTGCTCACTCCTCGCTTTCAACCACACTAATGTCATCCGAACACAAGCGTCACCTAATGAACACTAACCCCTGATTCTGTAGAAGCCACAGCCAGGCTCATTACCAGATCATTGTGAAAATTATAGTTTCTGTAATCTTTCCAAGTCTGGCTCAACCCTGGCTACAAGCTTGCCAGGCTCAGGAAGGAAAGGGTGCCTCTTTCCCATACTTTGATGTAATCCTGGGCAGATGGGGTCCCACAAGAAAAGACTCAGTGAAAAGCCTACAGACCAAGATGTGTCAGGAGCACAACACCCAGAAGCCAGAGACTTCCATAATAGAGGCAGGTTCTCAGCCATCCCTCCTTCCATAACAGTCTCCCGAGTCAGAACCAGGAGTCGGTTCTTTGTTTATGTTTTATCACCTTGACACAGCCTCTGCTTAAAAGACAGGCTGGGCCAGGTAGCTCTCCACCTGGCCATAGTCAAGCCCAAGTGCAAGTCCACGTAACCAACCACCATGAACTTCAGTCATGTAGGAACTGAGAGCTAAAGTCAAATATTTGGTAGTTAAGCAGAGGTGCCCTTCTAGGGGACCCTGTCACTCGATCCACAGAAGCAGTCTCCACACCACTGCAGACAGTAAGCATCCCTGGGGAGTGCTGGCATCCAGCAAGGGCAAAACACAAAACAGAAAAGCCACATCTTGTTTTATTTTGTTTGAGACAAGGCTCTCTACATAGCTTTGTCTGTTCTGGAACTCACTATGTAGACCAGGCTGGCCTCAAATTCATAGAGATCTTCCTCCCTCCCAAATGCTGGGATTAAAGGCCTGTACCTTCCTACCTGAAATGTTAATTTGTATTTGAGTATGTTTTTTAAAAAATTGGATTAGCTACCTTTTCTGGATTCTTGGGATTTACTCTCTGTTGTCTACATAGCATGTGTCTCTTGGTAGTACATGGTTCCTTATCTTCTGGTAAGTGCCTTTACCCCGTCTGCTGTGGGGTTTGCTGGTCTCTGAGAACCCCAGAGAACACAAGACTACTTCACACAGCTTAGCTCAGCCACCTTTAACTCCAAATGCCAGCCTTTTAGACTTCTGAAATGTTCACCTTTATCAATCAGGGACACACAGTAGCTGCAGGCCTCCAGACTTCCTTTTTCAGTCCTGTAACAAACACTCGGAAGACACTGTTGATAGGAGGGAGGGCTCGTGTTAGCCTCCGGTGTCTGATGTCTCCATCCAAGGCCAGATGGATCCCTTGGGTTAAAGGTGAGGCAGGATATCATAGCAGGGGCTGTGTGTGTGGCAAAGCTGCTTGTCCCATTGTGGCCAGATAGCATAAAGAAACAGACAAGAAAAGGCCAGGACAAGCTGTACCTTTCAAAGGCTTGACCCCGTTGACCAGCTCCCTCCAACTAGGCTCAGCCCCCCTGAGTCTCCATTTCTCAATACTTCGTTTAAGGACTGAATCCATCCAGGGACAGAAGGAAGTATTGATTAGGTCAATCCTAGGCTTCCCCTTTTGCTCAGGGGTTTCTCCTTTTCCCTATCAGGATTCACGGCACTTCCTGTGTTCCTAATGAGAACAGCCAGGTGCCCCAGTAGGCCATCTTGCTCAGTCACACACCCAACTCAGTTGACTCTCCTCTACCCATGAGATGCCATGTACAAAGAGATGAGTGCCCTTCCATTACCTCCTTTATCACAGACACGAATCCTAATACCATTTCCTCTGTACGACCAGCACCCAGCACACAGGGTATCCTGGAAATGCATCTTTTGGGTTGAAGTATGTTGTAGGTACACAGCCTGGGCGGCTCAGACTACCTCTCCTGCTAAGCCCCTTGAAGCAGGTCCTATGGCAGGCCAGGCCAGTACGTACTCACTGTGCCCTCTTCAGAAGGTGTTGGACTCTAGGTGTCACTTCTGCAGATCTATCCCCAGCCTAATGTATAGGAATGGCCTCTCTTTGGGTCACAGATGCCAAGAGTGGGTGTTGTCCCCTGTGCAGCTAAGTGGATACGGGCAAGATGACAGAAATGCTTGTTGCTTAGCAATGCACAGCCCATTATCCTCACAAAGGGAAGGACTTCCCTACCTCAGAGAAGACTGGCAGCCAGGACCCTAGCAAGTGAGTGCCTAGGGGTGGGGGTTGGGGGCTGTGTTACTTGAGGACTTCATGGAATGTGTGTTACATTGCATGGGGACTCTGAGGCCTAACAGATTCCTTTGGAGATGGGACCTCTCTTCCTGGAAAGCAGATGAGTTTTTCATCTTTACTATTTTGCCATCTCTAGAGAGAAGGGCTTTATTACTGCCTTTGAGTGTCCATAGCAGGGAACTGAGCACTACCTGTACGGTGAGTCTCAGCGGGAGCCAGAGACCCATCTAATCAGCCCACTGAGTCACCAGCATTCCTGACTGGTAATTAACCATTGGCATATTGCAGATACAAAAAGTCTCAGCCAAGATGCTGGCTGAACTCTACTAGACAAACAAAGGAAAACAACCCATGCTGTACTTCTGGACCAGCAAGCCAAGGCTAGTGACATACAACACACAGGCATTTTTCTTTCTTGGTTATTTTAAACTATTCACCATCTTCCAGATCTAGATGCTGGTAAATTTTGTTTAAAGAAAGTTAAATATAATTAAGTATATGTTCTTTATGAGCATAAACTGGAGGCTGGGTTAGACATGTATTCTATTTGGATAGTGTATCCAGTCCAGGGAGATAACAGAGAAAGGCGGTATCTGGGCCTGGGTTAGCTATTTTAGTGACTTGGAAATTCTAAATTTAACAATTTTTAATTTTCCCTCCATTTGAAAGGAATATTCTTCCAGGATCTGTGTCTTTCTGTGCTTGAACATCCAGTCTAAGGCAGAGGGGCCACCCAGGGTAGCAGCCTTTGACAAGAACACTTGAACACAAAGACATACACACCTTCTGAGCCCAGTTTCACACATCCTAGACTGCTTGGCTGGGAGCCGACTGTCTCTGGGCTCCCACTGGGTTTCATTATGGCTCGGTTCTCTCCTGGGCCGAGTGCCCACAGGACCTCATGGGACAGCTTGAGAGAATGTGGTATTCCAGTAACAGCCATACTGAGTCTGGGCTTTGTGGTACTGGGAATTCCCCGAGAAGTGTTGAATTGTCTCATGGGACTGGTCCAAGGTCACGTCAGCCTCTGCTAACAATGCCAATATGCCCACCATCGTGGCCTGAATCTGCCCCTAACATCCTCTTCTGAACTTATATCACCAACTCTTCTCCAAGAGAGAATGTACCCCACACCAGAGCTCCAAGGACTCCCCCTACTATCTCCCCTAAGAGAAGAGCTCCTTAGACCCTTAGACATGTTTCCTGTTGATTGTATGTGTGTGTCCTTGATTAACTTACAAGATCATCATGTTTGCTGTAAGTCCTTCAGCAGTTCTGAAGTCTCAAAGACAATACACAGAGGCCTGTTCTCTATAACCACCGTCTCTCCCAGTGCACAGGCTCTGAGCCTAGAGTGTCCTTTCCCGTGAACTGTCAACTGGGGCTTTGTCACCTATCTGGGAAGTCTGTTCTGGACAGAGAGGAATGTCAAGTTCCAGAAAATCCTGTTGTGTTTGTGTCTCACTCCAGCACGACAGATAGCAAATCCCTATGTGTGATCTGTCACGTCTGTGATGGGAACATCCGACGTGTCACCTCTCGGGTGAATCCCAGCCTCTCTATTGAGAATGTGCATGCAAGAGAGTTTACATGTCAGAACTAACATGCCCAGTGTTAGGATGTTGGTGTTCACTAACAAGTCAGCCATTCTCCAGGTAAGGAGGTGACAGTCCTTTGCTGGGTCACCCTCCTGGATTTTTTCTTAGCTCCCCTTCTCTACGACATGACACCCTGCAGACTCTATGTAGAGAGTTGTACCCTAATCCTGAACACTGCTTAGTTTCACCCTGAGGGCTGCACTCATTAACATCTTCCTAACCTTTCTTCTCCTGACCTAGTGCTGACCCAGAATCTTATCTCTCCTGTCTCATTGCCTAGTGACTCATTTCACTGTTTGTGTAAAAGATTTCTCCACAGTGGAACCCCATTGTCTTACCACTGCCTTGCTGGTGGTAGCTAAGACAGTGCTAATTAAACACCTATCAAGTGAATCGGGTGAAGTCCTCGTAATCTGTTCATGGGGTGCAGTTCTGTGTGACACGTAAGCCTGTTTTCGATTGTCAGCAAGAAGGATGGAGTAGAAGAAAATAGGCTTACATCTCAGAGGAGATGTCTGTGACGCTGGGCCATTGAGGAGAGCCCATGTGCGGCAGAGTGGGAGTGGTGGAGAGATAGAAGGAAACCAGGGAGAGACATGAGAGGTCTCAGGTAGGAAGGCCTTCCAAAGCAGGACCAGCAGGCATCCAGTTCCCATCAGCCGAGTGTGTGTGAGGTCCACGTCTCCATGGCCGCTGTGTATGCCCCTAGACTTTCCTCTAAGGACACCACGCCATCCTCAGAATGTCATTGAGGGACTCAGGATACAGGGATTTGCATGCACCTTAGTCCACAGGTACACTTCTGCATAATACAGACAAATCTTTCTAGCTCCAGTGTCGTATCTTAAATTTCCCCACCTGTATCACTGATGACCCCTCAGAGTACTGGTTGGAGAGGAGGAAAATTCACTGGAAGGAGATAGAATTTTTTTTTCTTCAGGGAATAGTGTGCTCTGTGTAGGAACACCAAGGTATCTGCCATCTCTGACAAAGGACTTAGAGAAAAAAGCGTGAGTGGGAAAAAATGGCAGCTGTGCTATTTAAGATGAAGAAAAATGAAAAGACACCACTGGGCCTGTGGCACGTAACATGTGTCATGTCTGACTCCACCGTGACCACAGCGAGAGCAGTTGACAGGTATGATGATGATGTTCCAGTTGTTTGACTTTCACCAGAGTGAGAGTTATATTCCCGGCATCCCATCCAAACCTTCCAATGGCCTCTAACACATATAATCCTCAACATGGCAACCATGCATGTGCATGCATGTACATGTATGTGTTGTGTGTGTGTGTTGTATGCTTGTGATCCTTATGAGTTTTTAGAAAACATATTTGGGCAAAAAGTAGGTCCATAAAAATATTACATATTTTATTTAGAAAAGCCCCCAGGAAACTTTAAAAGGCACAAAACTGCCCAGGGTCTTTGTTCAGGTGACTTCCTGTACCCATTTGTAAAATTTGTGATGTTAGGTGTCCACTCATTTGTAAAATTATGGTGCCTATAAAATGATGGTTCTTCCGATTATTAGGCACAAAAAAAAAAGAGGCTAAGGTAAACATGTTCTGGAAAATTTTGATATTGCATTCATATCTACAATTAAATTAGAAGATACTTCCATGTGAGTGGTGTGTGTGTGTGTGTGTGTGTGTGTGTGTGTGTGTGTGTAGGAGGTAGACATTATGTGTCCTTGGTTGCTACTAACCTTAGTTCTTGACACCAAGATCTTTACTGGAGCTCATGGGTCTGGCTCTCCTGGCTAGCCAATGGCTCCACAGACTTTCTACCTCGACAGTGCAGACGTTACACAGGCACATTACCATTCCCTGATTTTTTTTTTTTTAAAACATGGGTGTTGAGGGTTCAAACTGGAGTCCTCATGTTTGGCCTAGAAAGTGCTTTACTGACTGAGCCATTTTCCCCTCCCCACTACTGAGCTGCGGTTTCCTTTTGGCAGTGTTGTGGACTGACGGTGTGGCCGTGTGCTTGCTAAGCGTGCACATCAGCACTGGGCTATCTTGCCAGCCCTTTGCATATACTTTTGATTTCCATGAGTAGAAAAATAGACTGGAAATTTGTTAAACTGAGGAAAATACATTAAAAAAAAAAACTATAGATGATCTTTAGCATGTCCACATATTGCCGAAACAGTTGTGAAGAATCGAGTCTATCGCTTGAACGCCTCCGCTGACCCAGGCTGGGTTCCCATCACTTGACCACACTCACATTTCTGTTTTCATTTCTTCTTCTTCTACCTGGTTTTTCTCTTCGGCAGCAAGGACCTTGCAAGCGGCCTTGGATTCCAGGTACTCAACAGTCCCGTAACCAACCACGGCTAGACTCAAGACACCCAAGAGAATGTAGAGCTTGGTGCTCACACACAGAAATGAGCTGTATCCAAAGGCAATGACAAACCCTATGGCTTCCCCGAGGCGGTAGTTGGCAAAAGCAGGTTCTTTGTTCTCTTCAAACAGGACACCAAAAAGAGCTGTGGAGGAGAGACCAGAGTGAAATGTTGTGCCAGACCTCAAACAGGGCTGGAGGGATGGCCCTGTGGGTTAAGTGCCTATGGGCAAGCATGAGAACCTGAGTTCAGACTCCCAGTATCCACAGAAAATGCCAGGTACTGGCCTGCATTCCCAGTGCTTCGACAGAAGGGAGAACGTGTAGGGCTTGCTAACCAGCTGACCCAGCTAAATCAAGGAGGGAATCTGTCTCAAAAAATAAGACTGAGAATGACTAAGACAACATTGACTTCTGATGTTCACACACATGCATACACATGTGCATGTGCATACATGTACATATGCATACAGATACCACACAGATATCACAAAAACACATGCACATGTGTACCAGCCATAGATACACAGACATACACAAAGACCTCAAACATGGTCCGTTAGGATCCTGAAGACAGGCTTTGCCTCTGCCAGTTTTCTTGAAAATATCTTGGATGTTTTTCTTGCTAAAAAATAATAAAAGCACAGAATTTTGCTGACGAGCCAGATGGCAGTACGTAGCTCAGGAGGAGATACATGGAAGTCTCAGGGCACTAGCTGCTGGAGGGAGTTGGCCAATCCTCTCTCTAAGGATGAAGAGAAGAGGGCAAAGAGTTGAGTACGTGTTGTTGTGGAGTTTATGACCCTGGGGAAAGACCGCAGACTCAAACCGGTTAAAACCAAAAGATTTACTGATTAGCTGCTAGCTGAATGAGCAATATCTGAGCCAAATTTGAGATTTCCGTTAGAAGGGGATTGAGGGAAGGATTTTTAAAGGGGAAAACCACAAGAAGACCGTCAGTATCTACTCAAAAAAGCAAAATCTGATCTGTTTTGCCAAGTAGTTAAGGCATCACTGTGCAAGTTGGGGTGCAGCTCCTCCCCAGTCCCCAGGGCTAAAGAGGAATCAGTTATATTCATGGAACCTACATTTGTCCACTCAGGTAACGCCATCAACACTTGGGTAGCAGTAGTCCAGTAGGCGATGCCCAACTGCTTAGAAGTGGAGTCAAGGGCACTGGAAAGTTCCCAAACTTCTACTACTAGTTCTGTGACTTCTGTTTTCTAATGTTCTCAGCAGTTTTGAATTTTTAAATTTTAAATTGACACATAGCACATGTCTGTATGCATGTGTGTATGGGTGTGTAGGTATGTGTGTATGTGTATGAATGTGCATGTGTGTGTATATGTGTATATGTGTGTGTGTCTCTGTGTGAATGTGTGTGAGTGTGTCTATGTATATACATGTGTGTGTATATGTGTATATGTGTGTGTGTGTCTGTGTGAATATGTGTGTGAGTGTGTGCATGTGTGTATGTATATACATGTGTGTGTATGTGTGAGTGTGTGAGTGTGTGTGTGTGTGCATGTGTACATGTGTGTGCCATCATTCCTGAAACTTTCTGAGTGGAAGAAGTCTGGCAGTCTGGCAGAGGAAATCTCACCCTAGGGTGAGAGAAGCTGTGCTTATCTTAGTCCCCAGCTTATGGCATTTTTTGTTGGCCACAGCAAACTTAAAACTCACATATCCTTAAAACTCCTTCCTGTGCTGGGACAGGACATTTTTGACAGGTGTGGATGAGAGCTGGGACCCCACTGCATGACATGAATGAGTGGCAGGTGCATCTAGGAAGGACACAACGAGACAGTGACAGACCAGATAATCTTCCACCGTCTGTCTAGGCCCCAGACTGCTGATCTAGCTCCATCCAGCTCCTACCACACAACCCTTCTCACCAGGACCATCCTCAGACCTCCATATTGCCTCTAGAAACCCTGCTTGACTTCCCAGCATGACCCAGGATGAAGGTCTCTAAGATGAGGAACCTGGAATAGAGAACACCAGGAGGGAGGGCCCTGGGGATGGATGACAGGACAGAGTGCTCAGAGTGAAGGATCCTGGGTAGAAAGGTCCAACATAGAGGACTCTGGGCTGGAGGATGCCAGGCTGGGAGAGTAAGAACTCCAGAACTGATAACTATGGAGAGTCAGGGTGATCTATCTGGCAACTGGACCTCACGAAATGGCCCTGTCCCTTCCTCTCTGCCAACACCGACAGTTCCATCAGAAGAAGCCAGGTTACCAGACAGCCAAAGAAGCTAAGGATTTGGATGCATAGCCAGAACTGCCACCTTCCTTTCAGGAATGCCTGTTAATCACCCCTGAGGGAGAGGTATCCAAGCAAGCTAAAATTAGATAGACAAGGGAGGGGAAGTAATATCTATTTGTCTACATTACTAACAAAAACAGGTGTCCACATCAGCAATGTCTAGATGGATGGGTGAGCGGGCAAGCAGGTGACCATCCCTCTAATTAAATACACAGACATGGATGTCAAGTGCAAGGTAGCATCCAACACAGGATCCTACAGCAGGAAATGGAGGCTCGTGGTAAACTGGGGGAATCCCACAATAACTGCCCTTCATGAGCCACAATGAACCCATTTCCTGACAGCAGCCAGCCTTCCCTTGCTATGAAAGAGGCTCAACCATTGGGGGGTGGAGGGGGTATTGGACAGGAGCTCTGCGCAGATTGGTACTGCCTCTGCAGCTTGTCTATAAACATAAACTGTTGTGAGCTAGCCTGTTTGTTTACAAAGAGATTTGTTTTGCTCTCAGCCTCAGCCTGACCTGTCTGCCTCATCTATTCAGGGCACTCAAGGTTGAAGTGACTTAGACACTGATTCTAGCCCTTAGATGAGGTGATTTGAAGGAGCGTACAGGCGTCTCATCTGTTGGAAAAGCAGGTTAAATAAATGGAACACCCAGGAGGAGTCAGACTTCATGCACTTATGAACTTGAAAACAGCTCCTTCGAGCAGCTAACGGGGCAAAGTGTATTTTTAGATGAGACATGCTATGTCTTAAATGCACTGCCATGGCATGTGAGGGTTGCTATAGCAACCGTATCCATCCTCCCTCAGCTGTCAGACTGAATGAGCAGATAGGCAGAGATTCACTGCTAGGAGGCTGAAGAAAATCCTGGCACCCTCGCCCTCGGGGGTACCCAACCCCAGCAAGAGGAGTGAGTGTCAGAGTCCTGTGATAGATTGTCAAACTGAGGGAGGATGAAAAATGACCCAAACAGTGGTGCTGTGAGCTCCATTTAGCTCCATGAATTAGGAGAGACCGTATTACCACATCGGCCCTTCATGTGCTTATGTGCTTATGTGCATGCACATGCAGTCCGAGGCTGGGGAGGACATTGAACATCCCGGTCCAGTAGTCTGAACCTACTCCCTTGAGACGTCATCTCTCACTAGAGCTTGAACTTTCTTTCTGGTTTTCGGCTAGATTGCCTGGCCAGCAAGTCTTAGCAATTCTCCAGCCTCCACTCCCCTTCCCCAGGGCTAGGGTTACAGGGTCTGTCCTGGGGATCTAGACTCAGGTCACATACTGTTCATGCAGCAAGTGGATTTACCCACTATCCCATCTCCCCAGCCTCACACAGCACTGTTCTTGACATGTGGCCAAAGCTACAGGAAACTTTCCATGTTGTAAAGGAACAGACAACCATTTGGATGCCTTCGTGTGGATGTGCTGTGCTGTGGGGACCTGGGCGGAGCCAGCTGCAGGGGCTCAGCTCAGCTCTCAACACCCCTCACTGGGGTGGCTGCAAGCACAGGCTTTCAAAGAAACTGCTTCCTGAGAAACTGGTGTATCCTTTAACAAAAATTACACTCTTACATGGACAAAAAGATTAACATTATCTCAATTTAAATTATCATCCCTTATTCAACAGTCATTGTTCAAGTTACTCACTGGATTTGAGTGTTTATCTCACACACACACACACACACACACACACACACATACAAACAGTCTTGAATAATTTGCAAAGTTTAACAAAGATGCTCTTTGTGAGTATTTCATGCCCATATAAAGAAAGGGAGAGTTTGGGTAGTTATCCGTATATGTCAAAGAGAAAGAGGTCAAAGAGAAATAAAACTGGTTTTTGTTGCAATGATGTTAAGTCTCTGGGGTGCTGGCGTGGGAGATAAAGCAGGCCGTCTTTCCCAGTGCCTTCCCTGTTCCCATAACTACTGCTTCTGCAAATTCAATGAGCTCAGGTTACCAGCATGCAGAAAATGGGAGTCCATGTGTGTTTCAGTGAATTCTGTTAGGCCTGTGCGGGGTTCGATGCAATTTGTCTCTGTTGCTGACAGTATAACGTATCTAAAATTCCTAAGTGATCTGCCATGTCACTAGCTTATAGTTCTGAACTTCCGAGAAAAGCTAAAGTGAGTTTCTCATTACTCAACCTCAACACTACACACACACACACACACACACACACACACACACACACACTGAAGACCCATGCATTCCTGTGAGCAGGAGCCTATCACAGCCCATGACAAGTCTAGCTGTTTGTTCCTAGTTACTGACTTTGGTCAAAAACAACTGGATGCAGGGTGCCATCCACACACAATCTGTCGTTAGGTTCCGTCTCCACTAAAGCCAGCAGTGCTATGGACCCAGCGCAGCCTCTATAACCAGACATTTTAGATTTCCCTACATTTTCATTTTCAGCTCTTGTAAACAGACAGCACGTTGGGGTTACAGCAAGGATGAGCTCTGGGGGATGTAGTCCACCATCTTCAGTAATGTGTAATGGTAACACACAGATATACAAGCAGTGGCCGGACCTCCTGTTCCCAGCAACCCTGGCCTCAAGCTGTTGTAGATTTTTTTTAGCAACTGTCTAAGCCTGAAAGTATCCTGAGCACAGATGGAACAGAGTGAGAAAGGGGTCATTTATGAACCACACCCATCTCAGGGCTCCCTTGGCATCTTCAAGACCTTCCAGACACAGAGCCCTGCCCTACCCGATCCTTAGACACACTCCAGAACCTTGGGTGTTTGTAGAGGACTTGGGGGCAGGAGTACCCAGCTCATTATGTTATTTATAACCAGCACCCAAACACACACCCTGTCACCTGCCCTGAGGTATCATCCACACAGCATCCTGCATCCTTCTCAGCCTTGAAGCCCTCTGACTGCTCCTGGGGTAGAAGAAAGTACCCCCAACAAATCCTGTGCAAATACCCTGGCATTTCCCCAACCTTGTCACACCACTGAGACACCCCCTCCCCACTGACTCTCTTGGAGCCTCCCTGGTTCGGCCCCTGGACCTGGTACTCCCATTCCACAGCCCATTGGACAGCAACATTCCAAAGACATGCACCCTCTTGTGTTTAGCTATACCTCTACTTGCTGGTCCTCTTGACTTCTCGATCATGCATTCTAACTGGGCAAGGTCTCCCTCAAGTGACGTCTACCTCGGCTTCTTCACAGTCATTTCAACTGCCAACCACAAAGGTCAGGGAGTCACACTCCCTGGCTGTTGCTCAGTTGGGGGGGTCATCAGACCATCCCACCTGTCTATCAGGAGCATAAACCACAAGTGCCACAAGTGTCTTTTTCCTCTGCACCCTTTTCTCCATCTTCTATGACCTTGTATCCACAGAACACAGTGGCGTGCACTCTAGTGTCCTGTGGTCCCTATCTGGGTGCTCTGTGGACCCTCTTTGCCATTTCTTCCTCTGGTTCCACATCTGTGCACACCTGTGAGCACTCCGGGGACCACCTTGTGCTGCATGGAGCCCCTGTTCTCACCCAACCCTCCCTTCTCCATCATGCAAGTTCAGAGATAAGAACTCACTTTAGATCCAGAGCAAGATCCTTGAGACCTATTGTATCTCTCACTCCCTGGGCTCCAGACCTGCCTTCTACTGGGGACTTCTACTAGCCATACAAAGAGAGCTTGAATTTCACCCTGGTGGTGGCCTCCTGGCCTTGCTACGCTCAAGGACAGCTGACTAAGAGAGACAGAGGCACTGTTCACCTATGCTGGGCACTTACCATTGTTCTGTGTCTGCCAGACAGCGTCAGCCATTCCCCACAGGCCAGAGAGGATGAAGAAGACAGGCAGCTGGGCCGGGTTCGGTTGCCACAGCAGGAAGACCACAATGCAAGAGAAGTGAATGGCTGCCCCTGGTCAGAGGAGACAAGACAGAAAAGCGGGTGGCTGTTCCTTCTGCTTAAGACGGACCTTGGGAGCCTGGGGTGGGACCCCCCATCCATACCCATGTGCTTTCAGCCTTTCTAACTTTCACACAATGCTCAGAAGCAGGATGATGAGAGAAAACTCTGGTGTGTGAGTATATGACTGACTCTTAGGGAGGCCTCTAGGCTCTGAGGACCCTAGTCCCTGCTGTGTGGCTGGAAGACCCAGAGTTTGTTTCCCTACAGTGTGAGCTAGACTTCTAACCAATATGGAAACACTGAGAGAATACCAGAGAATATCAGAGCAGAGAGATATCTGGATTTGTTCCTTAGGATATGACATCTATGGAAGATCCCTGTGAGAGGAAAGTGGGTACCTCCCTTTGTCGGAGGAAGGCAGGAGATGTCAGGGCACAGGGAGAACAGCGGGTAGGCAGGAAAGCATGCCCATAGGGCTTCCCTTTTTGAGGCTCCTCTACAGCCCTCTCTGCCCCATGTTTGTGTGAGCTGACTGTGTCTACTTACCCAACACATAGAGTGCGGCCCTTCCCGTGTGCTTGGAGAGCTTCCCGTACAGCGGGGAGCACAGTGCAGTCATGGCCGAGAAGCAAATCATCACATAGCCCACAAAGTGGATACCCAGGGCACAGGTCACATAAGACTAGAGGGAAGCAGAGAGTTCAATTAGCTGTGCTTATAGGCTCACTGTGGTTCCAGTCTGATGCTGCCATGTGACACCTGACATGCAGATGTGGCTCACAACCTGTATTTACACTGCCATGTGGGAGATGGTCTGGTTGGACCAGAATAGACAGGCATCTGGGAAAACCCCTTCCTAGACATTCTTTGCCACAGGTGTGGTACACACGCTATTTTACACAGAGTTAACAAGAACATTGACAGATATGATTACTTCCTATCAGGCCTAAGGGCAGGTGAAGGAGATGGAGCATCCATAGATGGCAGGGAGGCCACTGGGCAGCCTCAACACTCGGCCTCCACTACTGGGTAAATAGAGGACACAGCTCTTTAGTTGCTAACCTTCTTTAATAAAGACAGAAGACCGATCCCCTTCTCCAGTAAAAAAAGAGTGGTGTTGCTTGGTAAAACCAGGACACTTAAATATTGCACGAGGCACACCTGTCCGGAGATAGTTGCAGTTTATGAAAATGCAGGTTAGGTTGGGTGGGTACTAACTGTCCTATTCTGGAGCACTACCCTTACCTAAGAGTGGGGACAAGGTACTTCCTAGTGTGAAGAGGAGGCAAAGCTTGGGGGTAGCATGGGGGATCCCAGCCTTGCTCTGACTCCTGCATCTTCCCTAAGTGACCCGGAAAGAGCCGGGGCTCCCTGGGACAGGTGGCTCCCTCCATCCTGCAGCATGAGGGTTCCTCAGAACAACAGAACCTGGGGACAGGCTCCTATAGGAAACAGTAGTTGTGATTGTGTCTGCCACTAGGAGTGGTCCACTCTATGTGTCCTTACTGCCTGTGCTGGCCCAGGTGAGGTGTCTTCTGTAAGTACAGAAAAGCCAGGTAGGGCATGAGCAAGAAAGCAGCAGGCCACATGGGTTTCTAGACTGGAATATATGGTATGAATGCTGGCGTGGGGAATTCCAACACTACTCGTAGATTTAACTCCTTCACCTATGTTTAACAGTCATGAGAATACAGGGGAGACCCCAAGTTAGCAGGACAGACATGGGTGCAATACACAGCTAGTCATAGCTACCTTCTACCAGCTCTGTTCTTTCTAGGGAAGACAGCTGGCTAGCAGGAAGTCCTCCCTTCAGAAAAGAAGTCAGGGATGGACGTCTCGAATCATAGATTCAGCTACTGTAGGACTAGGAAAACCATGAATTTGAATCCACTCAGAGACCCTGGGCCATTGATGCTGGGACACCCTTAAGTTCCTTTATGTAGAGCCCAGGTGCAGAGTATGGGCGCTGGGCTTCTCTACCTTGGTGTATTCTCCAGAGAGGAACCCTTGTTGGAACCCACTGTACAGTGGCAGGAACATCAGGAAGCACAAACGCTTGTCTCTAAACAGCATGAAGGTTGACAGTAATGTGGACCAGAGAGGTGGTGGTCTGGAATTTGTCTCTCCTTCATTCTGTACTTTATCTTCCATGGACTCGAGAAATACAGCTACCAGCAGGATGGCCAGGACACCACTGCCTAGAAGGACACACGGATGGCTGTCAGGATACCTGGATCACACGTGCTCCACCCCTCCCCATCTCCACAGACAGCTAGCTATTGGGTAACTAGTGACAAGTTGCTCTTGATCACATGTGTGTTAGGTCTACAGTTGACTTGAGATCTGCTTTCATTTGAAGCCTACCACAGCGGGTCAGCATTGCCATTACTCACAGAGGAAGAGCATGCTTTTAAAGGAAGGAAAAACAAAAGTCCCCCAAGACAGATGATGAGAGGAAAACAGAGCTTTGCGTCAGTCAAAGAGGGATACAGAAATCTATTCATGCATTAAACACCCTGAAGACCCTGGCGAACATGTGCCGTCTGCAGGCAGACCTCGGAGAGAGAGATGTACTCTGTGGAACAGTAAACAGAGGGCACCAGAGCTCCTAGGACCTTTCGTTGCATTTGTACTTTGAACCATGTAAATAGGTTATCTGTTGGGAGTGGGGAACAAAACAAGAACCTTAAAGTATTCATTTCACCCTGAACATTCTGTACATCTATAACCGAAACGCAAAGAGCCAATAAATCTGTCTTCACTCTCTGCCCACCTTACTTTTCCAGTCAGCTCCATGCCCCTGCACAGGAAACAGATATCCGTGTGGGTGTCGTGACTCATACCAAGGACCCTCTGGCCCCTAGTGATGAGAGGTGCCTTTTGTGACATCTTTTGAACACTGATATTCTTCTTTCTGACAAGGGCAGTTCCCCAGGGATAGAGGTGTCCAAACTCCTGGTGTGAGATTCACTCTGGGAGTATGGGTCAGACTCACCCGAGGTATGTGCTTGTTCCCTTTTGCTCCCGGTAACAACAGCTTACTCCTGGCACTCGTAAAAATGATACGACTTTATCTTGTCTGTCTTACTAATACATTTTCCCATCGCAGCCACAGGCTCTTCTGTGGACACTGACATAGGTTGGCTACGTCATCATTCTCCAGCCTTACTGAGCCGTGGGATCTATGAAGCCACCTCTCCTGCCTAATGTTTGCAGAGATGGTCTACCCAATCTCAGAACCCATCACAGAAACCGCCTCATTAATAACACACTTACACCTAGAAACATCCAGATCCCTTCAAAGCTTTCTGTAACTCAGCCGCTTTCCCTCCTGACTACACAGCATGCCCTCTAATGTCACTTACTGAACTATTTCAGTGGTGCTGATTAGGTGCCAAGGAGGCTGGACAGCTCCCGACATGGGCATTCTTCAGTCACCCTTTAAATGAACAGGTGTCTGGGCATGGGAAACACCCTGTGCTTTTCTAACCATCCAGATGTTGTGCGGGTAAAGTTTAGAAAACATGTGTCTCTTCTCCACTGATGGTGGGAAGATCCTTCTCTGTGGCCTACCTTGCAGCCAGAGACTTCAAGTTTGGAGTGGCATAGAAAATGCCATCTCTAACAAGAAATAGTGAGAGCCTGCGAGTGACAGGGTCGTGGACTCAGAAGCCACATCCTCTACTCAGAAGTGGTTGTAACTAATGCCAGTGGTTCGAGACCTTCCAAGGCATGAGCTGGTGTCATGGAACCGAGACACTGAATTCTAAAGACAAACTGTGAGAGACTTCATTATGAGTGCAATGCTTTGGGACCCTAGGCTCCAGGGATGCCACCATGGCCATTATAGCCCATTTTTTCAATCTTTTCTTATTTGTGCTTTAAAAAAGAGTCATAGAAGATCTCCAGGTATCAGAATAAGATGATGTCTCCACCCGGTTTGGGCATGGTCTCCTTACCTAAACCACTTGACCTGCTATGTAGGCAACAGGATTCTCCAGGCAGCCAGATTTACCCAGTGTATAAATAATGTGTGTGGACAGAGGCTGTTACCAGAGGATGTACCAGAAAGAGGGGGCTGTGGGCCTGTGGGTAACCCCACTGTGGAGGCACCTCAAGGCCACAAGTGAGGAGCCCTAGAATTGCAAACAATACACCTGCCTGTGGCCTGTGCTTCCTCGAGAGCCAGGAATGGACACTTAACAGTCTGCGGGACAAGACACCCTTAACAGCCTTTTATAGATATAATATAGAGCTAAAGTTCTATTGAAAAGACCATATTCATTTATCAATGCTATTTGTGGCTTTCCACCCACCACAAAGACAATAGTGAGTGACACATGTGACCCTGTGATGCCCAAAGCCTGAATTATCTATTGCCCCAGTTGTACAGCACTGCCATTTCACACGACCCAGTTCTCATGACTGACTAAGAATGGTGGAGAGCAGACAGGAACACCTGTTTAGCCCAGTAGTTTCCAAAGGTGTCTGGCTCCTCACTACAGAAAAGGGGCTGGGGTAGATATTGAGAAATCACAAGCCAGGACCTCTTGCTGTCATTGCCGCAATGTAAACAGGATCTCTGCTAAGCACATGCATAGACTGCGAGTGATCAAAGAAGGTAGAAACACAGAAGCCATTTGTGACCCCCACCTCCCACCTCCCTCTCACTCTTCTGCTTCATCCTCATCCTAAAACACTGCACCCCTATACTGCATGGGGTTTTGTTGGACAGCACTGGCCACTGACTTCACTGTCAGAGATCAGCACCCAAGACTGGCCCAGTTCTATAACTGGCAGGGCTTTTGCTTTATTTATTAAAGGGCAAGCACAAACATAGCCTCCCACTATCGCAAATTATATAGTGCGTTCTGCACATTTGGGGGAATCACAGAGGCTGACACACCCACAGTGCAATGAGAAACCATTGTCCTGGGAAACTGGCTTCGCGATCATGGCGTCTCTCGTTCCAGGTAAGGGTGGCAGGGGTTTCTATGGAGAACGTTGGTTAATGGGATAGAAAAGGACCTTCACCACAGTAAGAGGCTGAGCGTGTGTACATACTGGTGTAGATGCCCAGCAGTGTGTAGATCAGTTGCTGGGAGGGGTTATGGGTGCTGTTGGTGGCCACGGGACCCATCTGGCAGTCTTTGGCTCCACAGGACACAAGCTGTTCCTCAGGGATGGCCTCTATGAAGTTGAGATCAAGAAGATGAGGTAAGAATTCTAAAGACCTAAGGCCGAAATCGGCGGTGAAAGTATGGTTCCCTGTGGCAGCTGATATCATGATTTTTTTTTTTTTTTCAGAAAATGAATGCTAGCTCCTCTATGTGTTAGAGAAACAACGTGTGTGGGGCTGGAGAGATGGCTCGGTCGCCATGAGCTGCTCTCGCAGAGGATTGGCTCCCTACATCCACACGAGCACACAGCTGTCTCTAACTGCAGTTCCAGAGACTCTCATGCCTGCTTTGGAATCTGAAGGCACTAAATGCACATGGTGCACAGACATGCGTGCAGGAAAAACACCCGTACCCATAAAATAAATCATTCATATATATGTGTATATGTACATATGTATATATGTGTGTACACATATGTACGTATGCATATATATGAATAGTTGGTCCAGTGATATATACATGCCTAACATCTCTCTCTCCTCTCTCTCTCTTTCCTCTCTCTCTCTCTCTCTCTCTCTCTCTCTCTCTCTCTCTCTC